CAGGGTATTTCAAAGACTAGTAAAAGTGCATTTCTTCTTGTTCTTCTTTTTGTTCTTCTTCTTCTGCTTCCTTGTCCACCTGGCCAGCAGAACGGCCACTTTTCGAATACAGTTCCTCCAGAAGTACCTGGCAGGACCTCCTGACACTGTGTGTAGGGGCGTGGCCAGCTGCATCCTCAGACATGTGAGGCGTGTTGGGGCTGGATGCTTCTGTTTCTAACCGATGTTGGCCTTTTAAAGCTAAAGGAGTTGCCCCGGTTTTATCAGTGTTTCAAAGTGTTTTCTTTACAGATCAACAACATATAATTCTCTGCAGTGGCTCTTAGAGGAACCACTAGTCTGTGAAGCAAGAATGGACGTCTGTAATATCACGGTGCCGGGTCTGTCAAAGGTACTGTGCGAATCTGGGACGATGACTCTGAGGTGGTTGGAGGAGACGGCCAGACCAAACTTCTCCAGCGTCTGAGAGATGGTTTGTTGCTTGGGGTCTGGTCTGCCAGACTGGTGCAGCGCTTCCTGGACCTGGTGAGGGAGAGGATGACAGCTGGAGAGAAGCGTCTCCTGCAGCTGTGGTCCACGGGGAATCACCCGCCTGACCCAGTGGACCATTTCCTGGACATCCACCTGGATCTTAACTTTCGAAAGACAGTGGTCCTCTGCTACGCAACACAGACCCAAAGATGGACTTGTGCAGAACGGGTCCAAAAGTACTTTTATAAGACTTATGTTAGGATCCTGAACAAGAGAACTCTGCACAACAGAGCTGTCAGCATATGGGACGACAAGCTTGGAGGTCAGAAGCCCCAGTGGAGGACTCTTTACAAACCTCAGACAAAATAAAAAACGGACTGGCGATCGTCAATGGAGTATCCTTCATGGCACAAACTCTGTTTTTGTCGGTCATCAATCCTGAGGTTTTAAACGAGTGTCCTTCTAGCAGTTTGTCTGAGAGTGTTTTTCATGTTTTATAGATTGTGTATGGCTGACGGCTCTGTTTAATCTAATGACGAGGATCTTTAGCCTTTTTTGACACAGTTTTCACCAAATCTGTTTTTGTTAATGGAGTAGATCACAGCAAAGCCACAACGTCTAAATTCCAAACTTTAAACTTTTTAGTGGCTGAAGCAAAAATGGCTGTTTACTTGTCTCGCAGGGACCTCAACTTGATGCCGTGGCTCTGTGGAGGTGCAACGTCAAGGCCAGACTGGCGCTGGAGTTTTGCTTCCACAGAGACACTGGACACTTGGAGAACTTGTGCACCATTTCTGATCAGGGAGAACTACAATACATCAAGCTCCTCCATGTAAATATTTTATTTGAAGCTTAACCTGATCGTGTTTTTAACACTGTTGTGTTAACTTATTGTGTAAATAAAGTTTTGTTTAAAAAAAAAATCTTGTTCTTCATCTTCATTTTCTTCTTGTTTGTGTTGATCTCCATCTTCTTGTTCTTGTTGTTTGTAATTTTATTGTACTATTTGTTATTTTTGTACAAATGTGTTCATTTTTTATAGTTATCAGTGCTATAAATTCAAATATTGATTTTCTATTATAGTGAACAGAGTATCACAAAATGCCAAATTGTCCCAGAGTTTCGTGTGTTTTTAATTCAGTTAACTAATAAAATATATAATTAGCTCAAATGACATGCTATTGCTCTATTTAATACTGCGTTGCTTTATCAACTGCATGTGACATTTTCAATTTAAAAAAAAAAGTGATACATCATGACAGGTTAAAAAATAAATGTTTAAACAAAATAACTATATAGGATATATTTGTGGTTATTCTATTTTTTACTTTTTGGCATCCTAGGTCACGTATCGAGGTTAGACACATCAGGTTTAGCAGAAAATAGGTGTCAGATGATCCAGGCAGGTAATGACCGTCTGAACTAGAAGTTAAAGTACATTTAAAGCAGAAACGCAGCATTCTCCTTGAATGTGCACAACAGATTAAAAAAAATGAGTATTTGTTTTATAAAAGGTGTGGTCGGTTGAAATTTATACTGTAAGTTTGAGGAAAAAACATTGTTTGCTCTCAATGTTCCATTACATCACTAATATACTGTTAACCAGGGGTGTCCAGTCTTCGTCCTCGAGGGCCACTATCTTGTTTCCCTGCTCCAACACTCCTGATTCAATATCTGAATTACCTCTTCATGTTTGCAGAAGCCTGTTACTCACCCATTGATTCAAAGCAGGTGCGTTAGAGCAGTGAATCATCTAAAACATGCAGGATAGTGGTCCTCGAGGACCAGGATTGGACACCCCGGCTGTAAACGGAGCATGTTTCTGATAACAACAGAAATATACTGTTCATCTTCCAGCCTCAGCTAGCAACAGGATTTCTCTCCTACAGCCTGAGCTCATTTTTAAGCAAAAGAAAAACTTTGTGTCCTCAGACTTTCCTCATCTGTTGTAATTTGATAAAAAAGCACAACTCATTAGAACATCTTGGTGCTTCATCACTCACCTATCTCCAGAGGCTTCTGGACCATCTACTAGGAATAATATATTTAGTAACTTTTTTGCCTTTAAACTTGCATTAAACCATTTTGGTTTAAATCAGACTAGTGCCTTTACTTTGCTAATGTTTTTGAGTGTAAGTTCTAATGTTCTTCATCCATTCCATTTAGTCTTTTAGGATAATGTATACCGGGCCTTGAACATTTAGGTAATTAAAATAATTAGCCTCCCATTGCTTTACACTTTTACTAGAAATCAGAGAAAGGTCGCTTTAGGATGATTTTTTATTTTTTTTAGCTGTTACTCAGAAAGTATGAGCCAGCAGCTGAAGGTAGACTTAAAGCTGCGGCTGCGGTTGCTCGGCTGCTACAACAAATGCTGTCTCTTTATTCCGCTGTACTGTTTAATTTTGCAAAAGAGTTATCCTGGCACTGAACATTTTGAAGCCAGCGGGGCTTGTTGAGAGCATGAATAAAAGAGTTTCTGGGGCTGAGTGATGCAGAATTCTGCTGCGCCAGATTAAGATCTTACACAGAGGGGGGGAAGGAGGGAGGAACAGGACTGGAGGAACCAAGGATAGGTGCTGCTTGGACTGCTGACCATCTGCAACAAGAATCAGTGCACACATTATCTTTTGTTTGTGATAGTAGCATATTGGTCTTCAAGGTTTACGTGACTATCTAATGCTAACGGGTAGGCCTGTCACGATAATCAATTAATCGCATGATGAATTAAAGTTATCAACCTCATTTTCATTTACCGGCTTTATCGTTTCTTCGTGTCTCTCTCTTTCTACTGGAGACAACGGATGACAAAAAGCTCAACTCCGGTGCTCTTCACCGACTCCTCCCTTTCTCTTTAAAATCTGTTTTAACAGTCCAAAATCACATTTTTGGATCGTTTAAAGGAGAAGTTAAGCTACGAGCTAAGCTAACAGGCTGACCTCAGGAATAAACTTCCATCCTGTCGAAGCTCCAAAAATTCACAGTTGAAATCCGTGCCTTTGTGTAAAAAGTTGTTTTTCTCTGCAAAAAGAAGCTGAGAACTTGTTTACTGATGTTTTTTTATTATTAAAAGTTTTGTGTGAATAATGTTATGCTAAAGAGCTCAAGTCACTGCCCTCCCTCCCATTTTTTCTTAAAGAGTCACGCTGCTCAAATATCCATCCTTTGGTTCAGACAGTTTTATACTGCCATCAGGTGGTTACAAAAGGTACTACACTCCAAACAAATCAAGATTTCTTCTAAAATTTGACAATTAATTATTGTTAAATTTCAAACAATATTCTCGTTTATCGCAATAATTTCTGAGACAATTAATCGCCCAGCAAAATTTGTTATTGTGACAGGCCTACTAATGGATTTAGCTCCCAGCTGATACTTCAAATTAGGGGTGCAACGGTACGTTAAAAATCACATTTCAGTTGGGTTCAATTTTAAGGAGGGCTCGGTTTGTTTAATTTTCGGTACAAAAAATGGCCAAAATAAAGACTTACAAAATGTTTATTTTGAAAATATGCCAAGAAAACAAGTTCAGTCATTACAGACTTCTTAGCTGGAGGTGATCTGGTGGATGAAGAAGACTCAGCTGCTATCATCCTCAGACTACAAATAACACAGAGATAAAAAAAAGAGTTAATAAGATTATAATTTTTAATTAAAAAAGTTAATTAGATCACAATAATGCAATACCTCTTCTTGCACGGTCATCATATGAGGTGGTTGAATATCCTCTCTTGCTCATCATCATGTGGCAGGGCTTTAAATCTGGGGTCGAGCTTGTTGACAGTATCAGTTTTAGCTTTTTCATAAAGTGCTGCTACAACTTTTTGGCTGAAGTGTTGACGTGATGGATGTCGTAGGGAGCGGGGCTCCAGAACTTTAAAGCCGGTGCATCAACAACATTCGGACGTAGACCCAGAGCTTTACAAACTCCTACAGCTTGTGTTATTGCTTTGGACCGATCTGAATTACTTGATAAAAGTTGTTTAAATGCTGTCGTTATCGATCTTTGCACCAAATTACATTCACATTCGGATGATGTTGTTTCAAGAGTGTTAACAAGTTAGACGTGTTGCCTGCTGCAGATCCAATTTCCGTGAAACAACGTTGACACACAGCTTTGGATTTGTCCACTTGTCTTTTAACAAGAAAGCCATAATGTTCCCAAACAGGAGACCGCAACGGGATGGTTTGTCCGTTGCCCGCTAGGCTGCTAATGCTACGCGTGCTGCAAGATAGTAGCTACGTGCTGAAACACGCGTAGGAACTTTAGTTCCGCGGTGCATAATTTCTCCTTAATAAAATTGAATGAGTGAAAAAATAATCAAAACGGTACGCACGTGGACCGAACTGAACATGCTGTACCGAAACGGTTCAATACACCCACGTGTACATTACACCCCTACTTCATATCATTTAACCTTCGAGCACTAGGGCTTGTGCAGTGAAGTGTATGCTTTTCGCCTGTTTAGAGTTCAGAGGGCAGCTTTTTGACCTGTCAGGGTGTGTGTTTGTGTGTGTTGATGTTTCAGCTGAACTCTCCAATGAACTCAGTCAGCAGCACGGAGGACATTAAGCCCCCGTTGGGCCTCAATGGCGTGATGAAGGTGCCAGCTCAGCCCTCGGGTACCATCTTGTCGCTCACTAAACACATCTGTGCCATTTGTGGTGATCGCTCTTCAGGTAAGTTGCATCAGACTGGGAAAACTTTTTTTTTGTAGAAAGCAAGAGTACCGAACATCTTGTGCCGTCCTGCTGTAACCACACAGAGAAACCTCCAAAGCTCCAAACACAGTATTTTGGTGAAAAAGCTTCCCCACTGATCACTGAGAATTACACACCACAACTTCTTGCTGTGGGGAATGTTCCTGGAACGACAATGAGAGATGGGGTGGGGGTCAGAAATTATGTAGCAAAATACTTCATCTGGAATAGAGCAGTGATGTGTCCAAGCAAAGCCATGCACAGCCACTCACACATATCATGCAGTCCCTTCTTTAAAACAATTATTCAGGTTGGAGCTGGAGGCAAATACAAACAGATGTTAGGAAAAGCATAGCGATTGGTCCTGCAAAATCACAATCAGAGACAAATGTGTTCTGCTCTGTCAAAGGTTGTGTCATTCACTGTAAAACAGACGTAAATGTACTGGTAGTTGTATTTATAGCAAGTTCTTTCAGATGTCCAAAGGTAACAAAACACTGTGTCACGTATGTCTAGAAAAGAACACTAATGGAATGTCCTAAATGTTTTTACTTTGAGTCACTTTGTGGCCTTTAACCAATCGCATTCCTTTTACATCCATCCATGGACCATTATCTTCTCAAGAACACTTGAGCTAGTTCTTGAGAAGATAATGGTCCACAGTCACTGAGCGGCTTTAATGAGACAAACTTTTAACTGACGGTTAACTTTTATTCCAAGGAGTTGACTCACTCTGGCTTTCCTCAATAGTAAACAAATAATGTTAGTTTATTGTATTTTTCTTGGGAATAACCATAGAAAGTATTTTTCTACAGAAAGTTAGGCGAATATCTAATTCACTGGAGGATTTTCCTGTCATTCTGCATCATTGGCGTTGCATGCACCCAAAGGAGGAACATAAAAACAGTGTTAAATAGCAAGTCATGCTTCATTTGGCTCTGCTTGGAGGCTTTATTTAGCTTCTCTGGTGGTCTGACCTGCAGAGATCGAACAAAGAACCAGTCTGAGCAACACTGGAGAAAGCAAATGGGCTTCATTAGGCATAAATAACAAAAAAGAGCTGTTAGGAACAACAGACAGACACGAAAACAGATTCTTACTACAACTTCCCTTCAGTGTGCCTCTCTTTTTAATGCAAACTTCAAAACAGAGTCTGCTCACTTTAAACACCCTCTATCATAATTGCTTTATTTTCCCATCATATACTGGATCCTTCATGCTGCTTCATGCTCATTGCTACTCTTTTTATTGTTAATAGGCTTGCTGTATAGAAAAACTACGCTATTTGTAAATATGTATATGTGGACAATGGGTTCTAAATATTTTCACATCTATGACATTTACATGGGAAATATGACCCATAGCTTGTCTAAACATTAGACAAACAACCTCTGTTTTTTACTCTTCTCAGGAAAACACTATGGCGTGTACAGCTGTGAGGGTTGCAAAGGCTTCTTCAAAAGGACTGTGCGCAAGGACTTGACCTACACCTGTCGCGACAACAAAGACTGTGTTATCGATAAACGCCAGAGGAACCGCTGTCAGTACTGCCGCTACCAGAAGTGTTTAGCCATGGGCATGAAGAGAGAAGGTACAGCACATACCGTTGAGGATAAAGTGCTACTTATCTATTCCCTCAAATCTGTGCTAATCTACTTAATAAACACTCATTTAAACCAAATGAGGGTTTCTACGTATGGAAATCAGTAGCAGTGTAGTCATCTGAAAACATGTCTGATGGTTTTGTTACCAGAAACACCAAGCGAAACCAGATTGGTTGTATTTGGTAGAGACTCACTGCAGGTATTGCAAGTTAATATGTCATAGGAGTTGGTCTTTAAAATAGCCGTGGACTGTTGAGTGAATTATCAAGCAGGATTCAGCTGAAGGCCCAATTAATGCCATCTTGACGTACGGAATTTAAAAGTATTTTTTTTTGCAAATCAAATAAGAAAACCATCTACAATAATGTATGATGCAAAAAAAATGTTTGAATCCGGGACATGTTTTTCTGGATATACAGTGTAGTGCTTTTAGTGGTTGTGGTGTCTCAAATCCATAGGTGTTGTGTGACTACAGCCAGTCCTCTGAGACTTCTCTGACAATCTAGAGCAGTAAATTCCAGAAACCTGGCGATGTGTGGCGCGTGGAATAGTGCTTCCTTTGCATTTTGAGGAAGCAATTTGTACGTTTTTTTTTTCTTACAGATTGAAGTTAATATTTTGTGGAACAGCTCATCTAGTTTCCATGGAAATATCAGGGGCTTTGAAGCAAAATTTGAAAAACAAAATACCGCTACGACTGCAGTTGTCATGTCATCAGATAGTGGTGGTAAAGGCAAAGGCATACTTTTGGGGGGAAAAAAATATTGTGATGGTATATTTATTTGAGGATTTTGGTTTTGTTCCTTTTGAACATGGTATCTTAAATTAACCAAACTGAAAGCACCAGAAACTAAACCTCTGTCAACCAAGTTATGTAGTTTGCCACAAAACCAGAATGTATGTTTAGCTTCATATGGGAACCGTAAATTACAAAATAACTAGTATGTTCCATTAACACAAACCATTTCCCTTGGGCACAAGAACTTTGTAGCACTTTGGTTGGCCTTGTTGCTGTTTTAAGTGCTCTATAAATAAAATGGTATGGTATGGTAAGAAGCATTAGAAGAGGGATTATATGAGGAACCAATCTTTAAAAGTCTCAAGCAATCTCCAGTGAGTCAAATAAACCAACAGGAACACAACTGAATGAGACCTGCACACCTAAAACCCACCCAGAGATACCACTACACAAAAGC